AGAACTTAACTTAAACAGTGTGGAAGAAAAAAAAACCCCACACACAATGATATTGTCAGTTTAATACAGAGACTGTGACATGATTTTTTTTTTCAACTTTCAGTTTTTTGGGTTTTGTTTTTTTCTTTTTCAGGTTTTTCCCCCAAAAATTCAGCTGTCTGATGGTGGTGGGGAAGAAGCTGTTTTGGAATCTGCTGGACCTGCTGGAAGGTAGAAAAAAAAATAGAAACACAGACAGAAATGATGTGTAAAATAAAGAAGCATCATCCATCGGCAAAGGTGAGAGGGAAGCTGAAAGTTGTTCTTGTGGGAAACAGAACTTGCAAAAAGTTGCTTACATGATTTTTACTGACGAAGTAAAAATGTAACTAGTTATGACCCACCTCAGCTTATCAGTTCAATAAAGATGATGTTTTAAATAAAAGCTAATCAGTCATGTTATAATTGTTAGCCATAAAATGGTGGCCAAATACCTTAAATCCTTAAAATTAGGTTTTTATACCTGTTATACAGAGAGAATGCTCCCTGTCTGTCCTTTCTAATATTAAATCCAAATCTTGTTCTTTGGTGTGGTGTCATTATAGAACATGTTTGTTTCCATTTAAATGAAATAAGAACTACTACTACTCTAGCAGAGACAGTGTGTTAAGCAGCAACTGAAAAACTTTGAGGAAATAAAGTCTTGCATTCACCTTGCAACTTCCTCTACCTTCAGAGAGAATGCTCAACTAAAACATTTTGGAAATAAAAAAAATGTTTTGGGACATATATTCTGTTTTTATTTCTTTTTTTCTATCCATTATCAAATTCATGTAAAGCACTTTGAAATGTCCATGTCATTGCGTTGTTCTAGAATTACTGAACATCAACTCATATGATGTACAATTAAAATGTTGAACAAATTCTATACTATTAAATAACAAATAGAGATGAAATGTGGTTTTAGTGCACCTTTCTGTGTGAAAAGAGCAAAGTAGTGAGTTTATTTTCTCCACCCTGTATATTTACTTGAAATTTAAACTCTGTTGGAATCTGATTAACCTATTGGGGTATTAAACAGAAAGCTTTATGAATTAATTGAATCCAATTATAAAATTACTAAACTGAATCATTTTCAGAAATAAAATTATATTTTCTCAGTTTTAAACCAGCAAAAAACCTGCAGGCTTTCACTTTACTATATTTCATCACGTCCATAAAGGTGGATCCAAACTCCAACCCTGGTCATTCCTATTAATGACGTATTCAAACTCTTTGATTCTTTCAGTCTTCCTTTACACAGTGTCTTGTTTTGTTTCACTTTCCAGAAAAACTGAATTATTTCACTTAAATCCCCAGGACTCTAGATTGACTGTAATTCCAGTTCCTGGTCTGAGGAACAAGAAAAACAAACCTTGCTCTCCTGATTCATAAACTTAGCACCTGTCTTCGACAGGCATCAATATCAAACATGTTGTGCTAAGCTAAGCTCTTTGCTTTCCTTATTCCTTTTCCAGACACACAGAGGTGTGCTGTTATGAGATCTTCAAGTGAACACAGGCGACACACAAGGGGGAGCTGCAGCCAGTCACACAGAGACTCACTGCTTTAGGAATATTCCTGAAAAACCCTCAGAAGTTTCTTCAGAAACATCATGTGTGCTGTTGATCAAACATACAGCATGGCCAGTAACACCATTTTGCAAGCTGTAGGAGTGACAGTAGAGGCTTTGATTTTTAAAAACACTGGCTGTATATAATGCAGGTGCAGCTGTGTCTGGCTAACACTCTGACGAGATAAAAAAGTAGGTAATATGAGCAGCTTCATGTTTTGTTTTTTGAGATTTCACAAAAGCAGATTTCACATAAGCAAGAAGTGTTTGAAATGTTAGAAAATGATTTAATGGTAATACTGATAGATACTGTGATGAGGATATCAGCTGTAAGAAATCCATACTCCTCCCTTTCTCCAACTAAAGAAAATACCTCCACCTTTTTCTTGGACCTTAGTGCCTTCAGCATTGTAGCCTTTGCAGCTGTAGACATCTACTACAGGGAGAAACAACCCTAGCATGCTAATGGTTAATTCCTAACATATAAGATATTAATATTACTATTGGTCTTAAAGTAGTTATTTGGTATCTAAGTATAGCACAAACTGATACCGTTAGTGATCAACACTTGTCACCCAGTGAGGCAGTCGATGCACCGAGAGGGAAAAGTTGGCCCAACAACTAAAGCAGCATTTGATCATTGGAAAATACGAAATGGCCCATTTAGATCCACTGGTAAGATCTCTGGAATTTTGTTAAAAACAGATTGCTTCTTTTGTTGTGTTCATTGTTTTGCTTGTGGTGAAAACTCCTAACACTTAATTTTAAAATGACTTCTACTTGGGTTATTAGTAATGCAACCAGATACGTTTGCTTTTACGCAGTTTGTGTGGATATTTTGTTGATGAATCAGCACTAAGGAATTAACAACTACTGCTGTGCATTGTGAATGCTTTGTGCAGAGATGTAAACTGATTCAGACATTTGAGGGATATTTACAAACATGTAGTGAGTTTCCAGCTAATATTTAGGACAGGTTTTAGGCATAACTTTAGGAACAGCACTGTGCAGATGAAATGCAAACTTGTTTTGGGGTAAGAGATTCAAGCCCCTGGGCTACAAACATCCACTGGCTCAAAGATTATATTAACATGCATGGGCTCAGCGGTTTAAAAACAGCTCATGTGTAGTGTAATAGTAATAGTGTCTTACATTAATACTGCATTGTGTTAGATTTTTACTTGTAAAAATGTTTTACACAAATTTGTAAAAGAATATTGACAAGACGTATTAAACCTGTGAACGTGAAGGGATATTTTTTTCTTCAAATCAAATGAGTCAAGGATGTAAAATATCTCTTAGCAGAATATCACTGCACTTGATTGTTTATAATAGTCCAAGAGGCTAATATGTGTTGTAAAGACTCACCGGAAAAACAACAGGGAAACTAAACAAAAGTCTAAGATATAGGTACATGTAGTTATGAAAGAATGCAGTTGATTTCGTTGATTTATATCAAGGAATGAAAAAAGTCATGACAAATACTTTTTTTGCTGTATGAAATTATAAAATTAAAAAAATATTTATTTAGTTATTTATTTCAATTTTACCTTTAATATTCTGGTTTGTAGAACAGTTCAAATAAAAGATATATATATATATAATTATATCAAAATAATTGATCAATTTTTAAATTCATATAGTTTTTTATAGGTTTGTTACATTTAATGGCTCACTCACTAACATTTCAAGCCATTGTTTGGCCAGTGATATTATATTATGTTTCCAGCTAATTTATTTATATCTTTATATATTTTTAAAATGGAAGGATTGGTTCTCCATAGGAAGGTAAATATTCATACCCTTTATCTTTATTCAAATTTTTGCATTGAAAAACCTTAATGTATTTTTTACAGTTGAATGAGAAACAACAACAACAGGTTTTACACAATTGTAAATTTGATAGCAATAGACCAATTTCTTTCTTCTTTATTTTACTGAAAACAATTCTGAAAAGTGTGAAAAGGATTTCACTACATTTCTGTAAGTCAACATAAATTCACGTTCTGAAGTAGTTAATGCTGCAGGAATGTTTTGCTATGTCGCTACAAGAACTGTGCAAATAACTAATACCTCAATAGAATGTATTCTTAAAAGTGCATTATTAAAAGGAATCAATAAAAAAAATCTATAAAAACTCACCGATAAACATTTATCCAAACAACTTTTTTCTTGTTAGTTTTTTACTCTTTTATTCTTATCTTTTTCTTTTTACTATCTGGTCTTTCTTAGCTGTGACTAGGATGTGTTGGTGTGTGTCAGTGAGCAGCTGGAGAACTGAATATCCCTTCAGGAGGATTCATAGATGTCAACAATATAGTCGGTTTTTGTTTTTTCATTATTATTTTCTTTTGTATCTAATGCCAGATATCTTCCAATCAGTGCAAAACAGTCTTTTCTGCCCCAGCTGAGGATAGGAAACTCCACAGCATGATGCTCTTATAACCTTATTCCATAATGCAGGTCAGCATTCAGGCTAAAATCAAAACATCCGGGAAGTCTGTGTGTTTGTCACAGTAAATGCATATGTTTCAGTCTAATCTTTGTTTTGTTTGTGTAAGTTTAATATATCTAAGCTGCGAGACTGATACGTAAATAATTTAAATGAAGACAATAAATTCGTCTTGTAACCATTCCATTCAAGCAAGGTGTTTGGAGTCCATGATGATGTGAGCTTTGGATATTGCTGGGATTCTTTGCTGCTTCCCTAATTGAAGCTCCTTAAGCTTTAAACTCTTTATATGATAAATTGAGTTTATATTTAGTGTAAAACCAGTAACCTAAACTGTTAAAAAGATTCCACTGTCCATCTCGGTGACCTGCCTGCTGGCCACATGTTCTTCATCATGCTCTTTGTTCTCTGTTGTTCCCTAACATCCTTCCAAGTCCTTCGTCCTTCAATTCAATGGAACAGAAGGCAAATCGTCTGCATTTGTCTTTAGAATGCACTTTACTGTAAGTCATCTCAGTTGCTATCTCACTGATGTCACTTTATTTTTGTAAAGTGATATCTCTGACTCTTTCTGTGCACCTCTTTTCACTTTTTTCCTATATTATTTTCTTTCTTTTGTAAACTGTCCATTAGAAGAATCAACATTGCATAATATAAAGTTTCACATGAAGGTGATGGTAGCAGAGAGGATGCTGAGACACACAGCTGTAATGACCGAGCAATTATAGACTTATGTCAGCTGTTTTCAGTGATCAGGGACTGAGGTTGAGTCGTCAGACAAAATAAAAGTTGGCACATTTATTTTCTCTTTTTGCTTCTTAAGAAAGGCAGAAATCTGTTGTATACTGATCTGTTATACAAGAATACATTACAAGCCTAGTTTTTTACTTGAGGCTATACGTTTTTTTATTCCCCAATACAACGACTGATAGATCCTGAAAAGATTTGACAGTTTACCTGTAATGTCAGTTCCTCTGTCCTCATCTGAATCCTCGTCTTTATTGGTTGTAGTGAGCTCCTCTATCATTTCAGGCACAAAGAAGTCCCAGTTACGAGACAATGGAACCATGTAGTGGATGACATCTGAGTGGTAGATCGTAAGAAATGGGAAGGCAGTTGATAGATTCATCTCCTAAACAGAGAAAAATGAAAACAAGAGATGAAATGTATGTTATTAAAGTATCATAATTTTCCTATTTTTGTAACAAAACCATAAGGAAAAAAATATCACTGATTTTTAGGAGGGATTTGTTAAGTTTTGCACAAGTAGTACTGTCTGATTTAAATAGGGACAATATTCAGTATCATTTCTAAGAAGCCTTGAGGTGTAGGAATGACTGACAGAGCAATGATCATTAGCATGCTTCAAGATTGAAAACGGAGGCAGAAATACAGCCAAGGAGACAGCATCCTTTTTTTATTTCAGTATTCTTTGTTGTATCAAGACATCCTTACCAGATCTGTGTAAATCGAAACACAAAAACTGTATGGGAAATATAAGCCAACCATCAAATGTTCCATGAGAAGGAAGATGGTAAAAATGAAACATACTACTAGTTGCAATTTCATTCATTGACCATCTAGAAGTTCAGGAATGTTTAAAAACAAGAAGAGATTAGAGTTTTCTGGACGGGAACACTAATAAAGTAAAACAGTAAAAAGATTGTCAAAGAAAGATCAACCAAATAAGATGTGAAAGATGTAAAAAGTTACTGCCAATCACAGGAAGTTTCTAAGGATGATGTCACATGATTTAAGGTTTTCTACAGTGAAAATATTTGGAAAATAATTCTGCATGGATGGCTTCAGAATTGAGTTGAATTCAACAACTGAATTGATTAGAATTCAACCATTTATCCAGTTCAGGTGTTGAGGCAGGAAAACACCTAAAAAACCTGCAAAACAAAAGTTTGTTTAAATGAGTTATGTTTTCCTAATTCTTACAGTCTTTATTTAACCTTCCTCTGATAAGAAATTTACCTGATGAATAATAAACAGGCAAAACCTTCTCAAATACAGTTTTAAAGGTCAATCTGAAATTCATATCTCATAAATGTAACCTAACATGTTCTCCATTATGATAAAAGAATACATTAGGAAAACATTTTTACTATTTATTTCTATTTCTTGCACTGCTAAATGTCTAACTACATTTAAATGGATATGTGTTCATGTTATGTTACTTTATTTAAGAATTAGGCTTCTTAAATATTTCTGGGCTTCTGAGACAAATGTGTTTATTCACTGCAGTTCTGATAAAAAAAAAAAGCTAAGCACATCCACATAGCTCATTTAGCTATGGGTCAAGGTGGTCTTGGTGAATTGATTGTTTTTAATCTACTCTTTGCACAAATTGTGTAGAACACAATATGAATCATCAGACTACTGCTGCAGGCTCAGAGTCTGCAGAATCAAATCAGTACTTGGTAAGATAATGAGCAGGAGCCTCAGGAAAAAGCTGTCTCACAAAGCTGTCTACTGCCAGCAGACACACACGCATGAAGAATGAACAATTACTTCATTCACACCTTAGACCTAAACTTAACCCCCATCTCAAGAAAAATATTTCTTCTTATAGGGACCAGTCATTGGTCCGTATAGGTACCTGTACCTATACCCAATGTAGGATATTCCAAGGCAATAAATACATGGCCAGACACACATTTCTACTTCTACCCATATTATGACTCTGTATTAACTGGCTATCATTACTATTTGTTAATGGCAATATTACTTTATCAAAATAAGAACTTATTCTTATAAATACAATCTCTAATACAAGTTTAATCTCTGTACAAGTAATACGCTGGGTAAAATAAGTATTGACCACACCTACATTTTTCTTGCTACATATAATTCTAGAGGTGGTATTGAAATGACATTTTCAACAGATGTCAGAAGCATGCAATCCACACATACAAAGAAATCAAAGCATAGATGTCCAGAAATTAAGTTATGTGTAATATAGTGAAATGGTGCAGGAAAAAGTATCAAACTCACTTACTGAAATTTATTTAATACTTTGTAAAACAATGACAGCTTCAAGACGCCTCCCATATGCAGAAATGAGTCACACGCATTGCTCAGGTGTGATTTTGGCCCATTCTTCCACACAGACAGTCTTAAAACCTTGGAAGGTTTCGTGGGCCATTACTTGTTTTCTTTGAAACAATTGTACACTACCTGCCAATTCCAGGTCTTTGTGAAGCTCTCCACAAATGGTCTTTGGTTCTTGGACCACTCTTCTGATAATTCTTTTCACTTCTCTCTCAAAAATTTTTCAAGGAGCACCGGTTAATGGTAAGTTTACGGTGAAATTATGTTCCTTCCCATTCCGGATTATGGTCCCAACAGTGCCTAGTTTAGAAATACATCTGTAACCACCATCATTTTGCAACAATAAGGTTGCGAAGGGTTTGAGAAAGCTCTTTACTTTTACCCATTATGAGATGTTTTTTGTGTGATACTAGAGACACCTTTTTCTAGGCCATAATTTGGGTTTGAACCAACTGATATGAACTTGCACTGACAAGGGGCAGTTCTGCTTTCTATCTACTGACAGATTTCGGCCAGTGTCTTGGCTTTCCATGCCTTTTTGCAGCTCCCTTTCTTCACATGTTCAATACGTTTTCCCTGCGCCATTCCACATGATCAAACATAACTTAATTTCTGGACATCTATAGATTTTTTTTAATGTGTGGATTACATGGATTGTTAAACCTGGTGAAAATGTCATGTCAATAGCACCTCTAGAACTATATTTACTGAGAAAAATGGTAGTGGCGTGTTCAATACTTATTTTACCCTCTGTATCTTCAACATTTATAAACCTTCGTAGCAGCACAACCTGTACATTTTCTATTTATTAATCTTACTGACGATCACAGATCATTGTTAATATCTGATACAGAAGCTCAACTCTCCTCTTTTAACAAAAATCCTGAAACCACATATGTCCTTTAAAGAATTACATGCCCCTCTACTTTATGCTTGAGTAGTAGAGCTCAAGACAGGACAAACTGAAAGGACTACGGAGTGTAAAGTGAAGATGGTTGACATGAGGCAGCCTCTTTCAATAAAAAAAGTAAGGCAAGGTGACTGTATTATATAGACTCTAAAGTAGGAGAACATGGGATGCTCGGAGTAGTTGTTCTTGTCTGTACATCAAAATATAAATTATTAATTTCATGGCCACATAATATTCATGATATTCTGATGTTTTTTGGCCTTCTACAAAAGCTAAGTAGGAAAAAAATCATTACTGTAGAAACATTGTAAAGCCGTAATAATCATGTTCAGCCGTTTTGAAGTGCTGAAACATACACAAATCTTGCCTTAGTATGTGTGCAGCTAACTAACCATATAAGACCAGATGAATGAAACAGACTAAACTAAAAATCATTTATAAGAGAACCAGAAGAAAAATTGAGGCCTCATCTAGATTTGAACGTATCAAAGTTTCTTCAACATATAATAAACTTTAATTTTGGTCTTCGGAAGCAAATTTCTGAAATTGCAGCAGGGAGTTGCGTCTCATAAAGAGAGAGATACAACAGTGCATCCTGCAGTTCGACTGCAGTTCCAATGCATATCACATTAATAAAGCCTATCTAGCCCAGTAGGACCTTGTTGTTTGGTAATGTATGCAAAACCTGCCTTAATATTAAATAGAAGCTGTGAGCTATATGCAGATAGAATGTAATAACACCCTTTTACTATATAATTTCTAACAAAATAAATCTTCAGCAGCCATGTTGGTTATGTGATGTTCTCAAAATTTTTATCGTTACTTAATCCTTTTTGTTTTGTGATGCAGTTGCCATCAAAAAGAAATATTGTTGCATAATCAGCCGTATACATGTAGGCTACATTCTATTACAAAATCTCTCAATGTTGGATTGAACTTGGATTAGGTGCATTTTACCAATGTGTTTGGTAATGTGAGAGGTTTGTTTGTCTCATTACTTAGACTGCCAAAGTCATCAGTGGTCAAATGCAAACTGTCGCTGACGAAGTTCATTTGCACAAACATCTGTGCATACAGAAATAGCATTTCTGTATCTCAGTCAGCCAGTTTTAAGAAAATATCTACAGTACAGCTTGAATTTCTGGTTCAATAATGATACTTTCTGCAAACATTCTCAGTGGATTTACTCTGAACAATTAGCATCTAAGCAAGCAGTTCTTCAAATGCTTCTTTCCCTTTAAAAATCTAATCCTAATAAGAACCAAAAATACATTGATCCTGCTATCGTTTTGGTGCCTAAATAAGTTCCAAGCTCCAACAATATGAGAATTGGCTTAAAAATCTAAACAAAGACAATTGCTAAATTGATTTAGTTGCTTTATCTTGGATTATTATGTATTATCAAGGATTTGCTCATTAAGCAGTTATGCTGACTGAAGATAGTTTCAAAGTAAAACAAAAAAAAACTTTTTGCAATTTTACTTCATATCAGTTTATTAAAATAAATCCTTTCCTGCAGGTATTTTGGATACAGAATTTATATTTCTTGAGATTATTACAATAGCACCTCCTTTGCATTTACAAAATGTTGCTCTTTGATGTATTTCAAAGCTTTTAGAGATATAAGAAAACTGGGATATTCCTTATGACCCCTTTTTTTTTTAAATAAATAACTGCTCCAAACTAAATGGTAATTTATACATTTTTGGCAGAAACCTTTGGATCAAATATTTGGATTAAGTTTGTCAAAACAACTAATACATTATCTTAAGTGATACTTAACAGATTATTTAAAACGGTGATAGAAAAAAGGAAAGTTGCACCTCCACATTAAAAAAAACAATAACATTGGCACATCAGATTGATATTTCTCCACCAGTTACTTTACTGCTATTTACTATCTGCTAATGCTATGATCTATTACAATTTTAGTATCAATAACATGTGTATAACAGCAGATTATTCAACTATAACATTAGCGTATTTTTGTCTTGAGATCAAGTCTTAGACATCAGGGTTATTTTAAAGGATGTTTTTAGCTACCATAGCCAGACTTTGTGCAAAAGTAACGCAATGTTTGATACAGATTTGCGACATGCAATGATCAGTATTTTTGTTTTCCTTTTTTTTTTTTGGTTACACCTCATATAATCAAGGTAATTTAC